CACTTGCCAGGCTGTCATCATTGTACATAAGATTTTTTTAAAATAAGAATTAAAACATGCCTCATATATCCCTGAAAATGTGCAAAATAACAAAACAAATATTGAATTGCTGTCAAACAAAACAATGTTATTTTACTTTGCTCCTATAGGTTTCTGGAGAGGAACACAAGCCTGTCTACTGACCCTGCTACATATTACACCTGTGCTGAATACCCTCTCTGAAGGGGCACTTGTAGCAGGACTGCATAGGTACTTCAGTCTTGGGAAGACCGGCCTCATGGAGCTTCCACCACTCAAGTGGGTCTGTGTCTGTGTCAGGGGACATCAAGTACAGTAGCTTGGCAGCTCAGTTTTGATGGTGTCCTCCTCTGACTGGGAGGCAGACGGCACTGTCTTCTTGAAGAAGCTTGCGAGTGTTTTCTTGCTCTTCTTAGCCACAGGTTCAGCTTCTTCTTCTTGGCGCATGCGCACAGCCGTGCCAGGCTGAGGTGTGCTTTTCTCAGCTATTAGAGACTGGAGCTCCAAAACAACTCTTCGTTTGATGCCCTCAACCTTGTCATCTGCTATGTATGTTGTCCTGAACCGGGGATCCATCAGTGAAGCCATATTCAGGAGGTCATCTGTGGCAGGGTCATCGTACTTGTCGTTTAGATACTCCAGTGTGACGCTTTTGATTTGTTTTGTGAGATCGTTCTCACCCTCTGGCAGCAGGAGGCTGGTGTTGGACAGATGTAGCACAGGCTTGAGGTAAGAGAAGCTAACGTAGTCCTCACCAGACAGAACATCAGTGAATTCTTGTAGTGGGCTTATGGCTTTAGTCACTGACTCCAAAACGTCTATCCAGCCAGCTGGGCACCAGGTGCCTGCTTTTCTTCTCGGAGCCCAGGACCTGGGCTATAGCCTTCTCCTGCTCCAGGACTCGTTCAACCATCTTCTGTCTTGAACCTCACCTGGTTGGGGCCTCTGTGATGAGCTGGTGAGTGGGTAGACTGAGCTCAGCCTGTGCCAAAACCATATCTCTCCTCTTCTTCCATCTGAAGGAGAAGCTGCTGACAACCTTCTTGCATACCCCGATGGCACGGTCTATCTGAGGTTCTTTCACACCATTCTCTGTAAAATAAAAAATGAATAAACAAAGAAAGGATATTTAGAATAGCACCATTTTCAGTAATATGACAAATACATCATTCCCACACATTTGCTATTGGATTAGTAGAATTACAACCAGCTACTAATGGTCTGAAGATTCATTTTTTTGAATGCATTTTCATTATCCAATGGCACACTTACCGATGGCGAGGTGAAGCCTGTGTCCAAAGCACTGAAGGCGGGTCTACTTGTTCAAGCGCAATGCTTTTATTATGTTGCTCCCGCTGACGGTTGTCATGCACACCTGTCTGTTATCGCTCAGCTTCCACGATGCCAGTGCGTCTTTGAGACCCTGGGCTATTATTTCACTCGTATGGTCATAAGGGAAGTGTGATGTCTGGAGGCATACATTTAGCAATGTCCATTCTTCATCTATATAGTGGACTGTCAAGCTTAGGTATGGCTCCGATGTTCTGCTCGACCATAGATTGGTTGTGGTAGAAAAGTAAGACACATTAGCCAGCTTCTCGGTGACTCTTTCGCGGGTAGCAATGTATAACCGTGGCATTGCTTCTTCCGCAAAATACTTGCAGCTTGATAGCTGATATTTGGGGTCAAGTCTGTTTAGCAGCTTGTTGCTATGTGATAGGTCACCGCATCTGTTTTCTCCTTCCACCTCAAACTTTTCTTGTCATATGGGATGAAGTTTGAAAATGATGCGGCTATGGTAAATTGTCTTTGGAATGATTGTAGACCATTTTCTTCCAACAGGAAATCCAGATGGCAGCCATTTTATTAAAATGGCCGCCCTGGTTGACTGACAGGCTTCCCAGACTGCCACCAATCTTAAATGTTCCTGAAGGTATTTTTTCTGCATTTTATTAGGACCCCCATTAGCTGTTGCGAAAGCAGCAGCTACCCTTCCTGGGGTCCACACAAAACATGACATAATACAGAACATTAATAGACAAGAACAGCTCAAGGACAGAACTACATGGCACACGTAGCCTACATATCAATACATACACACAAACTATCTAGGTCAAATAGGGGAGAGGTGTTCATTTATCTGTTTGTTTTTTTAACCAGGTTTGCTGTTCATTTGAGCAATATGAGATGGAAGGGAGTTCCATGCAATACTGGCTCTATATAATACTGTACGCTTTCTTGAATTTGTTCTGGAATTGGGGGACTGTGAAAAGACCCTTGGTGTCATGTCTGGTGGGGTAAGTGTGTGTGTCAGAGCTGTGTGTAAGTTGACTATGCAAACTATTTGGAATTTTCAACACATTAATGTTTCTTAAATACTAGGTATCTAGTATTAGTGTACGAAGTCTGATACTTGTATCATAAAATGGAACAATTATTTAATCTATCCCCTAGACTATATGGCCTACTTTGTGAGAATGCTTAATGCTGCTTAATTGTATGAGCAATTGTATACTGTATCTGAAATACCAGTGACTTCAATTTTGTATTTTAATTAGTTAATTTATTTACTTACTTATATAGGCTTATGTATGCTATTTAGTTGCAAATTTTTTATGTCACCATTACAATTTGGCCTTCAATGTATGATATCAATTTGTTATCTCATGAAACCACACTGATCCTTTGTTTAAGGTAAACAATACATGCTTTTGCTCATTGGTGTGCCCCTTTTTGTGCAATGAAGTCATTTCTGAGCAATTTGTCTGTCCATTTTTCCATTTAGAAAATGGGCACCCCAGAGGAAAAAGTTCTGTATAGTCAGATTAGCCACTCACTCCTTTGAGCTGCTCGATGTCCTGCACCTTGACGTAGTCTGGGTCATGGACTAGAAGGTGGATGGCGTACGGCACCACGTACTCTGGCAGCAGCGAGAACAGCTTCTCTACAAGAAAAACACACACGAGCACAAACATGCACACAAACACATGAGGACCATACCACACAGCGCTATGGCAGACTGCTAACTACAGTGACAAGGCAATCAACAATTACGATGTTTGATCCATCCCTAGGGTCAAGAGTTTTTCCTGACAACATAACGAGTCCAGGAAAAACCCCAGGCCCTAGTTAGAGCCGTTTAAAGAGATAGTTAACTTTTTTTGTTGTTTACGTTTATTTAAATTTACCTAGGCTGTTCTCATTTCATTTGAACAGCTTTTAAGTTTGTTATTTAGCAATGTCCAGAATCTCCTGGCTAGCATTTTTTAAGTATGTAGCAATGCTTGTGGAAATGTAATGTGGTGCATTCATTTAAAAACTGTGAACTATCACTTTAAAACTCCAGGCCCTAAACTGTCATTTCTCCTGACCATGTCTTACCACTGATGGCGGCATGCTGTTTCAGGTACTCCCTCCTGAGGTTTATGTTTTTGACCAGACACTGACGTGAATGCGCCCGCCGCTCATTCATGGGGTCCATGGCACACAGAGTGAACAATGCCAGGTACTCCAGGGGCAGACGCAGACGACATAGACCCCGGTGGAGCTTCTGGGCAAAGGTCTGCCGCACCTGATAACACTCGTCCTGGAGGAACAAAAAGAGACGAGAACAGGATCATGTTCAGTACGCACGAAACAGGATAAAAAACTGTCCAAAACAGTGAAACAGGAAGATATTTTCTAAACTTTGAAAATAAGCAATTGTTTTCTGCTGCAAAACCTTTTGCCACAGTGTGCCCTAATAAACACAACCCAGATAAAGCATGGTCAACTGGCCCCGCTTAGAGGAGACAATGCTGCAAGCACTAAAATATACATTTATATAGACAATTAAATTAAGAACTAGGCCTAAACATGAACTGCAATACAGAGCTAAGTACAGAATGCACTACAAAGAACCAGGCTAGAATGACGGCAGCCAGGGGCTGCCCGTATGGTAATAATGTAAGCACAGAGTTGGTACTGTGTGTGTGTGTGTGTGTTCTTACGGCTGGTATTGCTCCAAGGTGATGATCTCATGGTAGCAGGAATCCTCTGTTACGTTGATGACCAGAGAATAGAGCTGGTATTGCTCTAAGGTGATGATATCGTGGTAGCAGGGCTCCTGAGCCAGCTTCAGGACAGCACACCCCGCGACAAGACGCAGCCGGGACATATCAGGCTTCCTACAACACACACACAAACACAAAACAAGGGGTTAGTTCACCTCACTCACAGAACATGGTCCTGAACATAGATTTCAAATAAAATGTTCATAGTGGTTACATGATACAGACAGAAAGCAAAGCAGTCAGCAAAGTTGACCCTACTGTAAACACACCCAGACGATCAGATTCAATAAAGAATGAGTGCCTATCTCTGGTCCAGGTCGTTACTCACTTAGTGAAGGCACGCGCACTAACGACATGGACCAGAGCTTATGAGTGCAGTCCCTGATCTTGCCCTGCTCTGTAAGGTCCCAGTCACTGTTCAGTATGGCTGTTAGCATCCTCAGAGTGGAGTTGCCCGATTTACTCTGGTTGTTCTTCACTCCGAGAAGCCACCGCACCATCAGCTTGATGCCCTGGATCTGCATGGACTCAGAGAAAGAGACAGACACACAGACAGACAGGTTTTGTTAAGTGTTGGGGGATGGTTTTACACTATTGTACAGTCTAGGTATGGCTTGCTATATAGCATTTGGAAAGTATTCAGACCAGTTGACTTTTTCCACATTTTGCTACAGCCTTATTCTAAAACGGATTCAATAAAAAAAAATCCTCATCAATTTACACACAATACCCCATAATGACAAAGCTAAAACAGGTTTTTAGAAATTTTAGCTAAAGAAAATAAAATAAATACCTTATTTAGACAAGTATTCAGAGCCTTTGCAATGAGACTTGAAATTGAGTTCAGGTGCATCCTGTAAACGACAGCACCTGGGGGAGGAAGCGAGAAGGGTGAGTAAACGACCGCACCTGGGGGAGGAGGAAGAGAGGATGGTGAGTAAACGACAGCACCTGGGGGAGGAAGAAGAGAGGATGGTGAGTAAACGACAGCACCTGGGGGAGGAAGAGAGAAGGGTGAGTAAACGACAGCACCTGGGGGAGGAAGAAGAGAGGATGGTGAGTATACGACAGCACCTGGGGGAGGAAGAAGAGAGGATGGTGAGTAAACGACAGCACCTGGGGAGGAAGAAGAGAGGATGGTGAGTAAACGACAGCACCTGGGGGAGGAAGAAGAGAGGATGGTGAGTAAATGACAGCACCTGGGGGAGGAAGAGAGGATGGTGAGTAAACGACAGCACCTGGGGGAGGAAGAAGAGAGAAGGGTGAGTAAACGACAGCACCTGGGGGAGGAAGAAGAGAGGATGGTGAGTAAACGACAGCACCTGGGGGAGGAAGAAGAGAGGATGGTGAGTAAACGACAGCACCTGGGGGAGGAAGAAGAGAGGATGGTGAGTAAACGACAGCACCTGGGGGAGGAAGAAGAGAGGATGGTGAGTAAACGACAGCACCTGGGGAAGGAAGAGAGAAAAAAGAGAGTATAGTGAGAAGTTACCTCATTGCTAAGACATGAGCAACATAGACAGCAATCCTTCTTCAGGGTCGTGTTCATTACGGAACACCGTAGAAATAAATGCTTGGAACGGAAAAAGAAAACAGGCATTTCTATGGGCATCCCCTGAGCAAGGCAGCAGCCAAAACTGCGGGGATGGCTTAGATATTGAATTCAATAAATGCAAAAAGAAGCAATAAAAAACGTATTCTAATATTTGATCTACAGTTTACAATACTTTTTTGGGTAGGCACAGTAGCTCATTTAATTCTTTAACTCAACCTTTTGCTTGTTGCGGGGACTCCTGAACTGAATGGGTGACTATGGAAAAGTACAGATAGTACTAGGACTGGGAATTGCCTGGGACATCACAATACAATATTAGGTATAGGTATCACGATTCAATATGAATGCGATTCAATACTGCGATTTTATTCCGATTCGATGTTCCAAACATATTGCTCACTATATGTCTGCTGCAGAGGGACAAGAGAGAGCCATGAGAAAACGAGTTTTGATCAGTCATGGAAATAAAAGTGCTGAAAACATATTGGCTCACCATTTAAAAAGAAGATGGAAGCCATAGAAGGAAAAATACTTGAGTTTTGTCGCCGACTAAGTGGAAAAATAATATTGCGATATCGTAAAAATAATATTGCGATATATCGTCAAATTATGTCCCGATATCGATTTTCACCTCCATCACTACTAGATAGTACCTCCTTGTTTCACTACATTTCTGAGTGATTATTCCGATTCATGCCTAATGAACACAACCCAGATTTAACACAGCCTAGGGCAGGGGTATTCAACTCTTACCATAAGAGGTCTGGAGCCTGCTGGTTTTCAGTTCTACCTGATAATAATTGCACCCACCTGGTGTCCCAGGTCTAAATCAATCCCTGATTAGAGGGGAACAATGAAAAAGCGCAGTGGAACTGGCTTTGAGATCCAGAGTTGAGTTTGATGGGCCTAAGGGGTAGAACAATGTTCATTCACAACAGTGAGTTAGTCCAATTATCATAACACAAGACAGAGGATTCTCTAGGAGAAATGCCTCTACCAAGTTAAAAATGTATCTTGCGGTTTAGCCCTGGTGGGTTTGTGCCTGTGAGTGTGTGCTTTTTATTATGATTATTTTGACCCTTATTTTACCAAGTAAGCTTACTGAGAACACATTCTCATTTACAGCAACGACCTGGGGAAGACGTACAGGGGAGAGGTGTGTGTGTGTGCACGCAGGTATATGTCAGGGTTTCCATTAGGAAAATGTGGCACCGGACAACGTGACCAGGAAGATAAAAATTAACCTGCCATTTGAGAGATTTACCGGACCCATATGCATTGGGTGCATAACTCATCAGTGCGTCCACCCACGATATTCAGAATGACAGAAATCACATGTATTTTTTACTTTTAAACTCGAACAAAACAGAGATGCTAGTTCTAGGTCCCAAGAAACAAAGAGATCTTCTGTTGGATCTGACAATTAATCTTGATGGTTATACAGTCGTCTAAAAAAAAACTGAAGGACCTCGGTGTTACTCTGGACCCTGATCTCTCTTTTGACAAACATATCAAGAATATTTCAAGGACAGCTTTTTTTCATCTTCGTAACATTGCAAAAATTAGAAACATTTTGTTAAAGAATGATGCAGAAAAGCTAATCCATGCTTTTGTCACTTCTAGATTAGACTACTGCAATGCTCTACTCTCCGGCTACCAGGATAAAGCACTAAATAAACTTCAGTTAGTGGTAAACATGGCTGCTAGAATCTTGACTAGAACCAAAAAACGTGATCATATTACTCCAGTGCTAGCCTCTGGCTTCCTGTTAAGGCTAGGGCTGATTTCAAGGTTTTTCTGCTAACCTACAAAGCATTACATGGGCTTGCTCCTACCTATCTCTCCGATTTGGTCCTGCCGTACATACCTACACGTACGCTACGGTCACAAAACGCAGGCCTCGAATTTCTAAGCAAACAGCTGGAGGCAGGGCTTTCTCCTATGGAGCTCAATTTTTATGGAATGGTCTGCCTATCCATGTGAGAGATGCAGACTCGGTCTCGACCTTTAAGTCTTTAATGAAACTCATCTCTTCAGTAGGTCCTATGATTGGGTGTAGTCTGGCCCATGGGAGCGAAGGTGAACGGAAAGGCACTGGAGCGACAAACCGCCCTTGCTGTCTCTGCCTGGTCGGTTCCTGTTTCTCCATTGGGATTCTCTGCCTCTGACCCTATTACGGGGGCTGAGTCACTGGCTTACTGGTGCTTTCCATGCCGTCCCTAGGAGGAGTGCGTCACTTGAGTGGGTTGAGTCACTGACGTGATCTTCCTGTCCGGTTTGTCGCCCCCTCGGGTTTGTGCAGTGGAGGAGATCTTTGTGGGCTATACTCAGCCTTGTCTCAGGGTAGTAGGTTGGTGGTCTGTTGATATCCCTCTGGTGGTGTGGGGGCTGTGCTTTGGCAAAGTGGGTGGGGTTATATCCTGCCTGGTTGGCCCTGTCCGGGGGTATCGTCGGACGAGGCCACAGTGTCTCCCGACCCTCCCCTGTCTCAGCCTCCAGTATCTATGCTGCAATAGTCTATGTGCCGGGGGGCTAGGGTCAGTCTGTTATATCTGATGTTATTCTCCTGTCTTATCCGGTGTCCTGTGTGAATTTAAGTATGCTCCCTCTAATTCTCTCTCTCTCCCTCTCTCCCTCCCCTCCCGGAGGACCTGAGCCCTAGAACCATGCCTCAGGACTACCTGGCCTGATGACTCCTAGCTGTCCCCAGTCCACCTGGTCGTGCTGCTGCTCCAGTTTCCACTCTTCTGCCAGCGGCTATGGAACCCTGACCTGTTCACCGGACGTGCTACCTTGTCCCAGACCTGCTGTTTTCAACTCTCTCTCTCTACCGCACCTGCTATTTCAACCTCTAAATGCCTGGCTATGAAAAGCCAAGTGACATTTACTCCTAATGTACTGACCTGTTGCAACCTCTACAACCGCTGTGATTATTATTTGACCCTGTTGGTCATCTATGAACATTTGAACATCTTGGAGAAAAATCTGGCCTTAATGGCCATGTACTGTTATAATCTCCAACTGGCACAGCCAGAAGGGGACTGGCCACCCCTCAGAGCCTGGTTCCTCTCTAGGTTTCTTCCTAGGTTTCTGCCTTTCTAGGGAGTTTTTCCTAGCCACCGTGCTTCTACATCTGCATTGCTTGCTGTTTGGGGTTTTAGGCTGGGTTTCTGTATAGCACTTTGTGACATCTGAAGATGTAAAAAGGGCTTTATAAATACATTTGATTGATTTAGATTATGGCAATGCATCTTAACAGAACATGCAACTCATGTAATGAAGCAGCCAATAAAACATCATTTTCAAACATTTGCCAAAATGCAATTAGCGGGAAAACACCATTCTAAACAGCGCACCTGATAGCGGTTCCCTATGTGACAGAGATTAAAATCTCTGTTAGAAATTTAGAAAGAGGGGGAATCTAAAGATGCAACATGGAATCTTTAAGATGTAACTGCCTTAATTTTGCAGGACCCCAGGAAGAGTAATGGGGATCCATAATAAATACAAATACAAACAACTAGGATGGGTTGCTAATATGACTAGGATTGTGCCTTTGGCTTCTGGACAACGAAATAAAGTTGATATGAAAACCAATAGAACAGGAGAGAAACGGCATAGCGGTGGGTCCAAAAGGGAAGTAAAGGGAAATACATTTTCCAAAATTATATACTTACTCCGGTCTATACAGAAATAAAATAATTCAAAATACTTCACCAGAAAGCATGACTTAGCCACAGAGGAATCGAGGATCATTCTTGAAAAATAATTGCTGTGGATTGTTTCAAATCACAAGCTCGCAATTTGGCCAGCACGAGTGGCCTGATTATTGAGTTGCGGCTGTCAGTGAAAAGCATCCAAAATACAGTGAGGGAAAGAAGTATTTGATCCCCTGCTGATTTTGTATGTTTGCCCACTGACAAACACATGATCAGTCTATAATTTTAATGGTAGGTTTATTTGAACAGTGAGAGACAGAATAACAAAAAAAAAATCCAGAAAAACGCATGTCAAAAATGTTATAAATTGATTAGCATTTTAATGAGGGAAATAAGTATTTGACCCCTCTGCAAAACATGACATAGTACTTGGTGGCAAAACCCTTGTTGGCAATCACAGAGGTCAGACGTTTCTTGTAGTTGGCCACCAGGTTTGCACACATCTCAGGAGGGATTTTGTTCCACCCCTCTTTGCAGATCTTCTCCAAGTCATTAAGGTTTCGAGGCTGACGTTTGGCAACTCGAACCTTCAGCTCCCTCCACAGATTTTCTATGGGATTAAGGTCTGGAGACTGGCTAGGCCACTCCAGGACCTTAATGTGCTTCTTCTTGAGCCACTCCTTTGTTGCCTTTGCCGTGTGTTTTGGGTCATTGTCATGCTGGAATACCCATCCACGACCCATTTTCAATGCCCTGGCTGAGGGAAGGAGGTTTTCACCCAAGATTTGACGGTACATGGCCCCGTCCATCGTCCCTTTGATGCGGTGAAGTTGTCCTGTCCCCTTAGCAGAAAAACACCCCCAAAGAATAATGTTTCCACCTCCATGTTTGACGGTGGGGATGGTGTTCTTGGGGTCATAGGCAGCATTCCTCCTCCTCCAAACACGGCGAGTTGAGTTGATGCCAAAGAGCTCGATTTTGGTCTCATCTGACCACAACACTTTCACCCAGTTCTCCTCTGAATCATTCAGATGTTCATTGGCAAACTTCAGACGGGCATGTATATGTGCTTTCTTGAGCAGGGGGACCTTGCAGGCGCTGCAGGATTTTAGTCCTTCACGGCGTAGTGTGTTACCAATTGTTTTCTTGGTGACTATGGTCCCAGCTGCCTTGTGATCATTGACAAGATCCTCCCGTGTAGTTCTGGGCTGATTCCTCACCGTTCTCATGATCATTGCAACTCCACGAGGTGAGATCTTGCATGGAG